TTTTTTTTTGTATTTAGTACATGGTCTCACTACATAGATTGGACTCGTAGTGATTCTTCTGTTTACAGCCTCCCAAGCACTGGGATTACAGGTATGCCCCACCATGCCCAGTATCAATCACTGTCTCAGGGCACCCCAGGGGCAAGGCTAGCACAGCAGGCCCTGGGGATCGAACTCCTGGCCCCATGTGTGCCTAAGCAGGCGCTTTAATCCACTGAGCTATATGGCCGGCCCTAATACCTTAAATCTTTAAGGGGCATAGCATCTCATAGGTTCTGTGTCCATTAAATGGTCTTAGCAGGCCTCTTCAGAATTTGGTAGCAACCCACCAATCTTTCCATGGACAGGAGTTATATTCCCCCAGTTTGCCCTTGTTTTGTTCAGTTTGCCACCAGGAATCACTGTAGTTTGTTTTGCTTTGCTCACATAATTATGCATGTTTCTGGTCTGAGCAGGGTTCAGTTTCAGCTTGGGCACAGACACCTTCAATTAGAATAAGAGCTATGTGCTCCATATGTTTCCAGAGACCTTGCTTACAGTTAGCAAAAATGACCTTGTGTTGTACCGTAAACTTACCTTTTAGGAGTCCTTTTCCCAGCATGCCTCCAAAGTCTACAAGAAGACAGAAGCAGCTGCTTTAAACACATACATACATACATGCAAACAATGCTGCAATTGAAACTTTGGTAATTTTTATTTTGATTTTATTTTTATTCATTTATTAAATGTTTAAAAATCATTTATTTGTTTATTTATTTGGTATAGGGTCTCACTGTGCAGCTCAGACTCATAGTGATCCTCCTGTCTCAGCCTCCCCAGCACTGGGATTATAGGCATGTGTCACCATGCCCAGTTTTGGTGGTCAGCACAGCACACCCAGGGTTCCAGAGCTGGCACAGCATGCAATACTGAGGATCAAACCTGGTCCTTGTACTTGCCAGGCAGGCGCTTACACTGCCAAGCTATCTCTCCAGCACTATTTTGTTTTTTAATAGTTGGACTATAGTGTGTCCAGATGCAAGTTACTTTTTTTTTTCCCTGTGGTTCATTACCTTTTTTAGATAAAATGGGTTGATAATTTTCATCAAATTTGGAAGATGTTTAGCTGCTGTTTCTTCAAACTTTCTGCCCCAGTCTCCTCTGATTCTGGGATTCCAGTTACTATTAATTTGCTTGTCACAAGCCACTGAGTCTTTGTTCTTCCTTTATGCTCCTTTGATGTTATTGTTATTCTCTGTACTTCCGTGTCACTTCTGTTGCCCTGTCTATAAGGTCATCAGTCTTTTCCTGCATAGCCTTTGTTCAAGCTACTGTTAAAAACATCCAGTGGGCTCTCTGAGATATTTTTCAGTTAGACTTCAATCTGCTTCTCTACAAAGATTGTCTGCTCACTTGTGTCGTCTAAATTTCTAGAACACATTTTTAGTATCTGTTGGTTTCAACATCTGCATCATCTCTGAGTCTATTCATTTTTATTCAAAATTGCTATTTTTAAAATTATATCTTGGACAGTGTAGTACGGTATTGAACCCTAAGTGGCTTGCAGCACAAGGGTATGCCTAATTCCATTTATTTTATCGTGGCTAGAACTAGATCATAGATTGGAGATTATAGAGGACATATGGTGGCAGGCCTCCCCACCTTTGTCCTAGGCCAAAGGCACTATAGAGAGATTTTCTTTAAAAAAAAAAAAATGGAAGTCCAATCTGCCACACAGAACAGAAATAGGAGATTCCAACTGCCTGTCTTATAAGATATGATTATAATAATCATAGACTAAACATAAAGAATTATTTTAGGGATACTTTTTCACATGTTGAAACATTTTAAATATCCTGTTTAAGTAAAATCTCATTTCAGAGTAACCCTGGTAAATTAGGATGCAGTTAATATTTTTAGTACATCTTTAAACTATGAAACTGATTTTCTTAGCAATTTTTTTTTTTCACAACTGATTGGACTTGAACTTGTAATCCTTCTCCCTCAACCTCCAAAATAACTGAGATTACAGGTGTATACAACCATACCAAGCTAGGAATTTAAGTCTTTAGATCTTCAATATAATACTAAGTTCCTGAATGTTGTTATAACATTTGAACTGACAGAAATCATTTGTTTTTAGCTAATCTATAGGTAATTTCCTTGGTTCTTCTCTGCCATGAAGCTGTAGCTTAAATTGGTCTCACAACAGAATCTGCAGCATAGAGAAAAACCTTAAATTCTTATGCAGCTACTTCTAATGAACTTTTTAGAATTTCTTTTATACAAAAAAGTACTTTCAGGACCAGGAAGAGAGCTTGGCAGTCTTAAATGCCTGCCTGGCAAGCACAGTGACCCAGATTCGATCCCCAGTACTGCATACTATGATGACCCTGCACTGAGCCAGCCACCAAAACCGGGCATGGTGGCTGGTGGCACACCTGTAATCCCAGAGCTGGGAAGGTTGAGACAGGAGGATCACTGTGCAGCGAGACCCTGAGATAGACAGACAGACAGACAGACAGATAATTTTTTTAAAAGTACAGTCTAGTTTTCTGATTTCCATCAAGAATTAGGCAGACAGCAGTCCCAGCCCAGGCGCAGCGTGGGCCGGACCCTCTCCCAGCCCCTCGGGCCGCCCCCCACCACTCTGCAGTGCCTCCCCCACCCCGCCCGCTGAGTAGGATTTTCTGCCGAGTTCCGGGAG